TTCTCTATGTCAGTCTTCATAAAAACTGTATAGAGTATGACTATTAGAATTGATTGGCTGCAGTTTGATCTTTTAGGTGACATTACCTTAGGAACTTATAAAGCTGGTACTTACATTCAAAGGTAGTTACTTCAAGTAGCCTGTGGGTATTTGGGGAAAAAAATAACACCTCGTGATTGGGCTTTTGGACTGATTAATCCTGTTCGGAAATGTTATATGCCCTTTATTTTAGGCTGTAAACTTAACATGGAGCTTTGGAGCTAGGCTAGCATATCAAAAAAATGCTCCTGTCACAAAAAGTAAAGTTTAGCATCAATCTAAATGTTACATCGAATCCATTTAGCCAGGCAGGAGGCTTCCTTCTGTTCTCAGCCAAGCTTCTTTTTGCTGGTTATGAATATCCATGTGAATTGTCAAGGTTCTGTCCTTTTGAGGATCAAAATTCATTTTTGAAGAAAATGTGGGATAATTTCTTTTAGATGAGCAAAGACTTCAGAACCTATTCCTTTTAAGTTTATATTGCTGCCAAGAGACTACATTATATCCCAAGCAGCTCTCATCACCGGTTTCATTCTGGTGAAGCAAGACTGAGTGGCCTTTGTCTCTTTTCAGAGTATGAAACATGGACTGACCTGTCATGTTTGATTATGAATTTGTACTTACATTTTAGGAAGCTTTCAAATGCCTGCTAATGGTCTAAAAAGCCTTTAGGAGCCTTAAATTTCAGAAATGGTGGGTGTGCACCTCACAGGCTGGGAGCCCCAGTGTTAGCAGAAAATATTGAAGTTGAAAAAGCAAGCTGATGGTTCGTTTTTGTCTTTGACCATATTTAGAACTGTGTGGTTTACTGGGAAGGGAAGCGCACCCAGAACATGAGCACTAGGGTCTGATCACAGTCTCTCACAAAACAAAACAAGACAAAACAAAACAAACCTGTGTTGCCACGGTTAGGTTGTCTAATCACGCTGTGCCTCATTTTCTGCTGGAGAGACCAAACAACTATAAGGTGAGAACATAATCTCTGAAATTAAAATCTCAGCTTTGTCAATCACTAGCTATAAAAAAGCATCTGCCTTAGGGACACCTCAGTGGCCCAGTCAGTTAAGTGTCCAACTTCAGCTCAGGTCATGGTTCTTGGGTTCGAGCCCCATGGCGGGCTCGATGCTGACAGCTCAGAGCCTGGAGCCTGCTTCAGATTCTGTGTCTCCCTCTCTCACTCTGCCCCTCCCTGTTCATACACACACACACACACACACACGCACACACATACTCTCTCTCTCTCTCTCTCTCTCTCTCTCTCTCTCTCTCTCAAAAACAAATAAAATTAAAAAAAATTAAAAGTATCTGCTTTATAGAGAGTTATTGAGAATTCCTTCATTCATCTTATTTATTCAACAGATTGATAGGTAATATCTCCCATGTTATAGGAGTTGGGGATAGAGCAAAGGATTAGACCCAAATAGCAAGCACATATGCGAACATGTATGATGTTCACATATAGTGAGATACAGCAAGATGTGCTTTGATACCTCTGTGAAAGGTGGAAGTGAGAGGTGGGTGGATGGACAGTCACATGTAAGCTGAGAAGAGTTCTGAATGACAAAAGGAAATCAGACACAAGAGTAACAAGGGAGGTGGTGGCTCAGCCCAATATGACAGCAGTCATCATTGTCTCAGAGGCAGAGACAAGACATTGGTGGCACAGGGTGCCGGTATGGCTGGACCTCATAGCACAGGAGATGGGGTCAAAGGTAGCCTGGGGATAAGAGAGGCAAGGCTTATACTTTCCTTAGTACAGGGCCTGGCACATAAATATTAGCAAATTAGCTATTGTGATCATTTTCCCAAAAGGGTCTCAGAATGAAAAGTTTTCTAGTTATTTAACACCTTCATTTAAAATTAATAAGGGTCTCTAGAGAAGAATTAGATCACCATTTTGGGATATGACTTATGTTAGATGGTGATTGGATTGCATATTTGGGTTTTCATTGTGGCCACTTATAGGAAATTATTAAAAACACCTCTTTTTATCTTTTTCATGGAAATCATCCCTTTCTTATCTCGAGCTAATTTTCCTTCTGTCAGCTTCTCTCCCCAATTTACCTGGAATTTTTAAATCTACACCATTATGTTACTATAGTATTGTTGTCAAGTGCTACATATGTTAAAGTTTTTCAGAAAAATAATGCAATCCCATATCCTAAGTGAAATAAAGTGTCCACTCAAAGTAAATCAAGAGCTGTTCCACCAGAAAAAAAAATGTTATGAAAAATCCACATTTGTAAATACTTACAAATAGGCATTAGAATTAGTTTCAGCTTCCCAAGACCATAAATTTGATTAATGAAGCTGATTATCTATTTATTTATTTATTTATTTAGTTAGTTATTTATTTATTTATTTTTATTTTTATTTATTTATTTTTATGCAATAAACTTACTTGGGGGAAAAATTTAAGAAAATCACAACATTGGATCTTTTGGATTAGGGGCATTAGTAGCTATTTCAAAATCCATTTCTTCTGAAAGTTCTCCTTTTCCACAAAGAAAAGTGAGATTTCCTACCTTGTGTGATTTTCCCCTCAGAGGTAAAGACTGGGGACTAGAAAGTGTAGCAAGCTGCCTTTTTTTAATGTTAATTTTATTTTTAAGAGTGAGAGAGAAGTGTGAGGAGGGAGGGGCAGAAAGAGAAAGATAATCTGAAGTGGGCTCTGTGCTGACAGTAGAGAGCTTGATGTGGGGCTCAAACTCACAAACCTTGAGATCATGACCTGAGTTGAACTCCAAGCCTAACCAACTGAGCCACTCAAGTACCCCAAGCAAGCTGCTTTCTTAAGGTGTGGTAGGTAGTATTAAGGGTTAATGGCATGTTGATTTTGCAGGGGAAAGGTGTTCAGAGTTAGCAGACTTTGAGGTTTGAGTGCACAGTCCCTAGACTACCTGCATTTCTAACACCAGCTGTAAGTTCTGGCTTTGATAATTTGCTAGGACTGACAGACATCACTGAAAGCTATTATACTGATAATTCTGGCTTATTTTAGGGAAAGAATACACGCTAAAATCAGCCAAATGAAGAGACACATCAGACAGTGTCTAGCACGACCCCAAATGCTAAGCTTTTGGTGTCCTCAGGATGAATAAACCTCCTGACACTGATGTGTGGTAATACACAAGGACTATTGCCACCCAGGGAACCTTGCCAAGCCTCAGTGTCCAGAGTTTTTACTGGGGCTTCATTACATAGTTAGGACTGATGAAGGCACATGCAGTGGAGCTCAGTTGCTCAAGTTAGATCATACCCTGTGAATCAAATCTTCTACCTGCAATTACACGGTTGATCTTTGTGATGTTGCCAGTCCCCATCCAAGACTATCAGTATGACTGGTCCCACTCTCAGATGTAATGTGGCCATCACCACCGTAAACAAAAGCGTTTCTATCATGTATGACATTGGTTACCTGCCAGAAGCTGAGAGCAATAGCCAGATGAAGGGCAAGGCTACATTCTTGGAGCAGAAGGCAACTGGCATCACTGCCTGGATTCTGAAATCAGGTGTTCTAGAGTGTGTACATTCTGAAATGCAGTGTGTGAAGTTGCCCCTCACTCCTGGCCACTTTTGGGCCCAGTGCTCCTCTTCTGTTCATTGGAAATCATTATCTCTGTGAAGATTAAAGAACATGTAATGGCCACATAGGATTCACACACTGGCTTTCGCTACTGCTGTTTTCATCATGTCAATGATTATTTACAGTATTATTTTATTATCCTCATAATTATGGTAAATATTTCTTAGGAATGCTGTTCCTACTTGAAGTAGCCAAAATATAAGTTCATAGTTTCTGGACATTTTTTCCAGCTTGTTTTCTTTGACTACTCATGGGCTCTCTTTGTCTCTCGGTTTATGCATTCTTTGCTTCAGCAGGAATTCTTCCAATTTTACTGAGCTTTCCAAGATAGGAGAATGAAGAGTTTTCCTTTCTTTTTCCTGTGGATTCATTTGTTTTCAGAAATGCACTGGTGATGATCGTACAACTAAAGTAGCATAAGCATTTGTTGATGGCGTTATCTCGTTCCTTTTTAAATTCATAGCACAAAGACAGATGTGTGTGTGTGTGTGTCTGTGTGTGTGTGTAAATTCTCAGAAAGTACTCAAATTGCCTTAACTAAAGTAGAAAACCTTTTAAAAGATACTTGCTTAGGGTTGTAACCTTCTTTTAAATTGGCTGGTAATAAAATGGAAATACCACCAAATGTTGAGTATTGGAGGTCAAAACAGAAAAATAATATCGTCAACATTCGGATTTGTATGTATGGCAGATTTTATGAGAAAGAACATACTCAAGTATTCAACTTATTTTGAAACAACTTTCATTTTATAAAGACCCTTATGACAAAAAGAGCCCCTGTAATAGGATATGCATCAGTGAAAAGTTAGGTAGAGTTTATAATATTAAAAGTAATTACTAGAGGGGTGTCTAGGTGGCTCAGTGGATTGAGCATCCAACTCTTGATTTCAGGTCAGGTCACAATCTCACAGTTTGTGGGATCAAGCCCCATGTCAGGCTCTGCACTGACAGCTTAGGGCTTGCCTGCCATTCTCTGTCTCCCTTGCTCTCTGCCCGACCCTCGCCCCCCACCCCCGCTCGTGCATGTGTGCGTGTACACTCTCTCTCTCAAAAGTAAATAAACTTTAAAAAATATATTTAAAAAGATTAAGTAATTAGTACAGGCTTATTTATGCTTTTAAGGTTTTATTAATATAGCAGTGGTTTTCATACTAATGTTCATTCTGTCATACATGTTATTAGGCTGTTAATGGTGTAACTGAGCCTCATTGACAAAGCAATACCTGCAGAGCACGTATTGTAGACCAGGGAAGCAATCCCTGCTTTTTCTTCGTTTGCTTTAAAGAGCAGACACTTGTTGCTTATTTTTCTTCTTCAGTTCTAGAATACCTTTTCCTTATTATGATTGCTTTTTGGATGTCTCCCACCCCTACAGGTGAGCTTCTCTTACAAGGTCCAGTGTTCATCAGAGAGCCCAGCAACAGCATTTTCCCTGTTGGTTCAGAGGATAAAAAAATAACTTTAAATTGTGAAGCAAGAGGCAACCCTTCACCTCATTACAGGTACAGTGGAAAGTTTGCAAATCCAAATTAAGAAATAACAGTGTGGCCATTGTGATTTTGGGGTTTTTTTTGCTTCAATATATGTATGGCATCCGTAAGAAATAATACAGGAAACTGCAGTTGTATGCTATGTTCAGCAGTTCTGATACATAAACATTGGATCCATACTGTATATATTTGATTCATTATTCACTTTACAATGAGATTCCTTGTTTTAAAAAAGACGTAGAAGAATATCTTAAACAATGCATTTTCACTGATTTATAGTGCAATTTAATTTATAAATTCATTAGTTTACGTGCACTCGTTGGGAACATATCCAAGGTGGGGATAAAATCAAATGTTTCAAAGGTAGTTAGAAGTCATAGTTTTTAAAAAAGTTACTTTTGGCTATTTGTACTTCTTTCTTTACCATTTTACCGACCATGTGTGTGAAGGTTTTACTAAGTATAGGGGAATAAAGTACATTCTTACTAAAGTTATTTTCATTATTCTAAAAGAGAAATTATATTAGTTTAGTAGATTTTTTTTCATGTAAGAGTATGTATTTTTCAGATTACATGAATAATACTTGTTCACTGAAAACCATCAAACATCACAGAAAGGTATAAGGGAAAAAAGTCTGAATTCCCATCTGCTTAAGATAAAAATATTAAGATTTGGAGGTTGATGGTGGATGATTTGGATGGGATGGGTATTTACTTTTTTTAAAAAATCACAAGATTAACTATTTTTACTGTTATGTGTGCTTAGGTGACCCAATTTAATGAAGAAATGAATTATTTATAAACAGCATATGCTGCTTTCATATAAGTGGCAATGAGAAAGTGCTCGAGGCACCTTGAGAACAACATGCTCTTTTGAATACTGTGAGCGTTTGTCTCGAAAACTCTGTTTATAATATTAGTTTCTTGGCAAAACCTCCTCTGTAATCTGCAGAACAAGCATACTTCAGCCTGTGTTAATAAAATTCTAAGTGGTAAGAGTACTAATGCAGACCTTATAGAACTTCTGTTGTTTTCTTAATCCATGTAAATAATAGAAGCCAACATTCATTGTTCAATTGGGTCAGCATCGGGTTAGAAGGTAGACCTTTGTATTTTTACATCTGGAAGTAATCTAAGTTAGTCTCTTTCAATAATATTCAAAGATATATTTATTGAGCACCTGCTGTGTACTTTCAACAGAATACACAATGATTCCAGGTTACTGGTCAGAATTGACAGAGGTGCTAAAAAGTTTTCTCTCTGCCTCTTCCTCACGCTGTAGAAATAAGAAAAGTATAACATAAAGTTAAAAAAATACAAGAATCTGTATTTTATGAGTTAGTTCAATTAATCAAACTTGAGCACATGTAACATCTGAAAATATTTTCTTCTTTGGAAGAAAGATGAATACATCAACTTTAATAAAAGACGTTATCCTAGAAACATTTTTTTTGCCAGCATTTTCATTCATCTATTCATTTCTCCCTGGAACAGAAGATTATCCTTTTAGATATGACTGTAATATGATAAAGAATCCATATGAATGACTCATCTGTGGGCTGTTTCTCTGTTGTCAGTGAAGTTGTATTCCTAGCATTTATCTTATGAATAATTTGATGATAAATGTGTTCAGGGGAAAAAGATTTAGTCAGACAAGAGTGTTTTTCTAAATTAACAGTGTAATTGTATTTGTAAACTTTTATCAAATAGCAAGAAGTCTTGAGGTCAGAAATCCAGAAATAGCCTGTTGTTGCGTTAATTTCTTTATATATCAGGTATTTATTGTAATGCCAGAGAGTGTCTTTAAACATACTGATGCCATGTGTAAAATGTTGATGAAGAGGTCCTGCCATTTACACAGTGCCTCTTAGGTTTTATGCTGTGGCCTGGGATATGGTGTGTTCCAATTTAAGCAGAATCTGTACCTGAGACCAGGAGATATGCGACTTAAATTGATACATCAGTTTTGTGTCTGACAAATGAAGAAATTTAACATGGTAGATATGGTTCTAAAATACTTGGTTTGTAGCCAGATTGAGCAGACACTTTCATTATAGCTCTAAAGATTCTCTAAAGTTAAGACTTGTAACCAGTATAAAATTCCACTTAAACTGAAGGTTTATAGTCACTAGAAGTCGAGACCTTGAAAAAAAGCATAAGGGAACCTCTTTACATTGTGAAAATACAAGGCTTTCCTGTAACAACAACTCCCCGTTATTCATGTTATCTGTGTAAGACGTTATGCCGAAGGAATAAATGGGAGTTTACAACCCTATAGGCTGTAATTATGACCTTATCTACTTAGGCAACACCTTCAGTTATGGCCTGATTTTTTTCTCCTATCTTTTGACTTTAATAGTCAATCATGGAATAGTTTGTAGAATTCTTTAACAGGAGAAAATATGCTTGCTTGTTCTTATTTTTTAACTATCCTTTAGAAACTACAGATAAATGGTATAAATATGGAAAAGCACTGAAGTTGGGGATTTGCTTTTTGACATGACATCAGAGAAAGGATATATTTTTATAAGGGTTTATAAGGATAAGCAGTTAGATAGATAGATGGATATCAAGGGGAAAATCAGTGGTTCATGTGAAATTTACAAGTTGAAGACAAATCCAACCCTGTTTCCCAAGATTTGAAATAAAGTTTAAGAGTCTGAAAAAGAATACCCTTTGAAAGCCCACAGCCTATCTTGTAGACTGGGGCAAATTTGTCTGATGAGAGATATTTTCTTGGTTCTCCCATTGGGTAAAAAGAACTCTTAATTGGCCATATTAGATATCCAAAAGTTCAGAAATTCTCAAGAGAAATTACTTGTGTTAGGGTTTAATTGAGAATTTTATTCTTCTCCCCACCCCATCTCCCCACCTAAGCCCCAAAGCCTATATTTAAAGGTTAATTAGTATTTATTCTCATTGTAATTGCTGATGATGACAGAAGAGATTACCCTGAGGGAGTATTAGTAACTTTTTTAAGTGGGAGGGATTTTCCCTGACTTTTCGTAGGGTTATAAATGTCCATTATTTCACAATTTGCTCACATGGAAGACCCCAGCTAAGTCACTTCTACTGATGCCATTCAGCCTTTAAAGGAACCACATGTTTGAGACAGACTGGGGCAAAATATGTAGATACCTAATGGCGACCAGGCAGGTAAAAAGCTCAAAGAGGTGGATGTGCCTTGAGAACATATAGAGACATTGAGTAATGACTGGAAACTATCCAACATTCAGCCACAAGCCTATTGAATGGTGACAACTGCTTCTCAGCACTAGCCAGTGATTACCATCCAGGAATCCTGGTCCAGTACAACAAAAGCTTTTCAAGAGATGTTTTAAAATTCAGGTGTTTTCTCTTTGGAATCTCTTGTAATGTAGGCCAAAGAAAATAAGTCTTAAAGTGAAATGTGGCCCACATGGGTTTTATGTTTTCAACATTTATTCTAGCTTGAGACTTACGAGTTGTGTTGTCCAATGTGGTAGCCAGCAGCCCAAAGTTGACCCGGGAGATTTAAATCAGTTACGTTAAAAATGTATTTCCTCAATCAGAGCAGCTTTATTTCAAGTGCTGAGTAGACATGTGGGGCTAATAGTTACTGTATTGGAAGGAACCAAAGACCATTTTTATGCTTCCATAAAGTTCTGTTGGATGGCTCTGCTCTAGACTGATCCTTGAATCCACAGCTTTTCTGTTTTTTTGTTCTCCCAAAAAGGAAGTAACCACAACCTTATTGTCTTCCAGCTCTATATAATAAGTAAACTATGTTAATAAAGTACACTGTGAACAATATTGGATATACAAGTTATATGGACTAAGTATCTTTGCAAAATATCATCTCCCCTGGCCACGGTTTCTCCATTTTAGGTATGGTTCCCTGTATTGGAATTTACTGCAAATCAACTAAATGCATTCAGTTTAAGGTAGAAGAGGAAAATAAGAGCGACTAATTGCTGCTCACCATTTATTGAAAGGGTAAACTGTTAGGAAGAAAAATCTGAGTTTTCTTGTTGCCCATATATACACAGTCACACACACACACATATGTACACACACACCACGTATTACTGTACATGGTACCACATGTAGTAATACATATGGCTCCATATATGTACTACATTTGTATGCACTATATATGCTATATATATTCTACATGTACAGCATGTATAATATTTTGATTGTATGCACTTTTTCCCTTACAATATCTTGTTGCCATGTAAGATCTGATGTCACTGTTATTTCACTTTTATGCTGCAAGACAAATAAGTGTTTTTGTTCCTCTAAGTTCTTTTGGCCTGGGGTGCCTGGGTGGCAGTATAGCCACCGGTTGAGCATCCAACTTTGGCTCAGGTCACGATCTTGCGGTTCATGAGTTCAAGCCCCGCGTCGGGCTCTGTGCCGACAGCTCAGAGCCTGGAGCCTGCTTCAGATTCCGAGTTCCTCCTCTCCTCCCCACCCCTGCTTGTGCTGTGTCTGTCTCTGTCTTTCAAAAATGAATAAACATAAAAAAAATTTTTTTAATAAAAAATAAATTCTCTTGGCCCTTCGGGAGACAAAATCCTCTCTGCTGGATTAGTAGGCCTGATTCTCTGTGTTTATCTTCATGCTCAACAACTTTTAGCATCCCGACTTCTCCAGCTGATCAGTTCTGGTCCCCACACCTACAGTCAGCTGTATGAGCAATGACATGTTCACACGGTTGGCATGATTGCTCACCATTAAAGAGTAAAGAATATCTATAGTGCCGGAGGGAGGTGGAGGTAGACAGCATCTTTTACAGAGCATTTTAAACTTGGCTATGTTACTGCCTCTCTCATGAAGCCTTCTTAATATCCACTATACTGGGGTCCATGCTCCAATGATATAGTGCCCATTTTACTCCATACCTACTTGCATGATAAAACTTACCAAGATGAAATGTGTGATTGTCTTGGTAGGATGTAACCCCCTTAAAGGTGAAGACGGTTTGTTCTTCACCCTCACCTTCCAAATGCCTAGCAAATAGTGCATACT